TTAAGAATAATAATAAAATATTTAATTTTAATTTTTTTAAAATTTTCTTTAGATATTTGTATTTTGAATGTCTTTAAAAATAATATCAAAAGGAAATGGCCAAATTGGAAATAAAGGACGATCCATTTAAAAAGAAAAATTGAGAACATGGGTTAAAGTGTAAAAATAGGAAAAACGGTCATGTAGGACGGCCACGTCAGTAGCATGTCTAGTCACCGTGCGCCGCATGACGGAAACAATAGCATGCATTCCACACGGGAGGCCACGTAGGCAATTCGCATATCAAGCGATCCAACGACCCATATTCACTCCTACGGGCACAAACGACCCAAATCTATTCCCCCGTTAGGCGTAATCAAACGGTCCACGTGCCTTCAATCAAACGACCCAACTTAGTTTTATGAATAAGTGGGATCCAAGAGTTGAGATCAGATGACCCAGATCGAGAGAAGAGGAATTTAAAAACTCTTATTCTACTAAAACCATAACTTTAGCCGCACACCAGTTCGTTAGAGAAGAAGAAGAAGGGCGGCTGGGGGAGATGCCTGCCATTGTCGCTGCCGCACCAGAGACCTAAATCGATGTCGATAAGTGCAATTTTCTCCCGTTCGTCTTGTTTTTCTATTCTAAACTACCCAAAACCCTTTTTGATGCAGGAAAACATAGAAGAAGTCCAAAGCAGAGGGCAGAGCTTGGCTAAGCTGCCACACCCGAAACACAAAAACACTATGGTGAGCCCAAAACCTTTTCTCGTTCCTTCCGTCCTGGACCCTAGGCCATCTAACATGTTTTTCAGTGCAGAGTAACTGAAGGAAAGCCACGACCACAAAGAAGAAGTGGCAGCGCTCAGTGGAGCCACCATATTGGAAAGCCAGAACCATAACAGTGAGTTTTGGTTTTCTTTTTTTTTTCCACCAACAGACACTGACTAATCCCAAAATGAACATGTTTTCACCCAGAACCGGCCGAAATTGGCTTGATCGAGAGGAGGAGCCGTCGTAGAAGGTAGAATTGGCAGCGGAGCACAATGGTGGTGCCATGCCAGAACCCTAAACCAGCCCCAGTGAGATTGTTGACCCTTTTTGCCTTTTTTTTGCGTATTCCCACGTTATTTTGACGTAAGTTTTAATTTTAACAGAAAAATTTAAGAAATTTAGGAACCAGGAATCGCCAGAAAGCGTAGTGAAAATAGGGTAGTGTTCTGGATATCGACCTAATGTAAGAATCCCTTACCATCTCCCGTGTTATAGTTAAATTAAAATTAAATTAATAATGAACGAAAAATTATAAATGGTTGGCGATCCCTTGATTAATTAAATACATATTGCTAATAGAGCCAGTAATTGATCAGTTTATGATTGTCATTAGTTATCCGTGTTGTCCACTAGTTGTTATGTTACCTTATTTATTTATCATTACTTCGTTTTATTTT